AAAAAAAAAAAAAAAAAGAAATTCACTTAATTCACAAAGAAATTCATAGAGTCAGAGTAAAAGCATGGAAAACATTTCTCCATACAACAGGAGCCCAGAAAAAAGCAGGGATAGCCATCTTATTTTCAGACAAAGTAAATTTTAAATGAAAACTAATTCAGAGAGAAAAAGAAGAGTACTACATTCTTGTAAAGGGAACAATCCAAGAGGAAGAGATAACAATCACAAATACATATGCACCAAATATTAAGGCCCCAACTATACAAAACAAATACTAATGGATAAGAGAAAAACAAAATAAGCACTAATACAACTGTAGTGGGTTACCTCAATACTTGACTATCACACATAAACAGATCACCTAGACTGAAAATCAACAACAAAATAACAGAACTGAACTAAGCCTTTGAAGAAATGGACTTAGTAGGTATCTACAGAGTGTTCCACCCCATAAAAACAGAACACATTCTTTTCAGCTGCAGGTCATTCTCCAAAATAGACAACATACTAGCTCATAGAACATGCTTAATTAAGTAAATGCATATTTATATTATCAGACCACAGTGCAATTAAACTAGAGATCAATAGCAAAAGAAACTGCAAGAACTTCACAAACACATGGAAATTGAGTAACACTCTCTTGACCAACTAATGGGTTGCAGAGGAAATTAAAGAAGAAATTTGATAATTTCTACAATTAAATGATAATGCCAATACACAAATACAGGAATCTATGGGACACAATGAAAGCAGTTCCATGAGGGAAATTCATAGCGGTAAATGGCTATACTAGGAAAACAGAGAAAACTCAAATAAACTACCTAATGCTGAACTTTAAGCTCCTAGAAAAAAAAAAAGAGCAAGACAAACCAAAAGCTCCTACAAGGGAGGAAATTATAAAGATCAGAACAGAAATTAATGCAAGGAAGACTAAGACAATGAGACAAAAATATCAATAAATTTAATATTGGTTTTTTGAAAGAATAAATAAAATTGATAAACCCTATTCAACCTTATCTAAAAAAGGAAAGAAAAGGCTCAAATCCATGCAATTAGGAAAGAAAAAGATGAAGTCATAATAGATCCACCATAAATCCAGACGATCATCAAAGCTACTTTCAAAACCTGTACTCTAATAAAATGAAAAGCACAGAGGAAATGGACAGATTCCAAGATACATATGTATTTCCAAAAAAAGTTGAATGAAGAAAATATAAAAAGTCTGAACACCCCAATTATATCCAGTGAAATTAAAAACATAATTAACAATTTACCAATAAAGAAAAACCCAGGTCCTGAAGGATTCACTGCTGAATTCTACAAGACATTTGAGAACAACTGCAATATTCTTTAAACTTTTCAATGAAACTGAAAAGGAAGACATACTTCCAAATCATTCCTGGAAGCAAGTGTTATTTTGATTCCAAAGCCATGGAAAGACCCAACCACAAAAAGAGAATTACAGGCCAACCTTCCCAATGAACATAAGATGCAAAAATCTTCAGTGAGATACTGGCAAACAGAATACAGAAGATCATCAAGAAGATCATGCACCCTGACCAAGTCGAATTTATGCAGGGATGCAAGGATGGTTCATATGTAAATCAATAAATGTAATACGGTATATTAACAGAGTCAAAGACAAAAACCTATGATTATCTCAATAGATGCATAAAAAGCATTTGACAAAATTCAACACCCATTTATAATAAAAACCCTGCAGAAAATTTGAATGCATGGTTTTTATCTCAACTTAATAAAGGCTATCTATGAAAAACCAATGGCCAACATCATACTAAATGGTCAAAAACTGAAAAACTTTATACTAAAACCAGGAACAAGACAAGGATGTCCACTATCAGCACTTCTGTTCAATACAATTCTGGAAACAGCCACAGCAATTAGACAAGAGAGAGAAATTAAAGAATAAAGATAGGAAAGGAAGAAGTGCAATTTATTAGCTGATGGTATGATATTCTACAAAGAAGGCACAAAAACTCCACCAAAAGACTTCTAAACTTAATTGACACTTTCAGGAGAGTAACTGGATACAAGATCAGCACTCAAAAATCAATAGCCTTCTTGTGCATAAATAACAGATTCACTGAGAGAGAAATTAGGGAAATGATACCTTTCAAAATCAAGGATATCAAGGAATCAATTTCAGGAAGGAAACAAAAGATCTCTATACTGAAAACTATAGCACTCTGAAAAAAGAGATCTAAAAAGATGTATGAAAATGGAAATACACCCCTTGCTCCTGGGTGGGAAGAACCAACACAGTGAAAAAGGCCATACTTCCAAAACTACTATACAGATTCAATGTAATCCTGATTGAAATTCCAACAGTGTATTTCACAGAAGTAGAGAAAACAATCCAAAAATTCATTTGGCATGAGAAGAGACCTAGAATAGCAAGAGTCATTCTAGGCAACAGAGACATGACAGTGGGTATCACCATCCCCAACTTGAAACTATACTACAAATCCACTGTGATAATAAAAACATGGTACTGGCAAAGAGATAGACCCAAGGATCAGTGGAATAGATTAGAAAGTTCAGAAACAACTCCAGACATTCTTAGATACCTCTTCTTTAATAAAGGAGCCAACCAACCTCAGTGGAGGAAAGATAGCCCCTTTAATAAATGGTGTTGGAAAAACTGGATTTCAACTTGCCAGAGATTAAAACTAGACCCCTACCTTTTGCCATACGCTATACTAAAATCCAAGTGGACTGAAATATAAATATCAAAACAGAAACACCAAACTTGATGGAAAATAAATTAGATAGAACTCTGGAAGACATTGGCATAGGACGATTTTATGATAAAATCCTCAGTAGTATGGCAACTAGCACAAAGAATCAACAACTGGGATCTCATCTTTTAAAAAAGCTTCTACACTGCAAGAGAAATCAAAAACCAGAGCTAAGAGACAACCCACGATGTGGGGAAAAATTTACCAGCTGTTCCTCAGACAAAGGTCTACACTCTAGAATATATAAAGAACTCAAAAAACCACCCCCCCCAGATATAAAGATCCAATTAAAACATGGACATCTGAAATGAACAGACATTGCTCAGACAAAGAAGTAAAAGTAGCAAATAAATATATTAAAAAAGTTTAACATTACTGGTCATTCGAGAGATGCAGATGAAAACAACACTGAGATTCCACCTCAGCCCAGGAAGAATGGCTGCTATTAAGAAATCAACCAATAACAAATGTTGGCGGGGTTGCAGGGAGAAAGGAACCCTTCTTTATTGTTGGTGGGAGTGCAGACTGGGGCACCCACTATGGAAATCAATATGGAGATACCTCAAACAACTTGGATTAGAAGTCTCAGGGTGTGGGGTATATAAGGAGAGGGCAGGCACTGTTCTTTTGTCTTTTGCTGAAGCAATGCTAGTGAGGGCATCTGAAGCTCAGGGTCAGAGTGAGTTCCTTTGGGTTGTTTTAAGAAAATGGCATACAAGCCGGACATGGGGGAAATCACCAGTTTCAACAAGGCCAAGCTGAAGATGACCAAGACACAGGAGAAGAACGCCCTGCTGACCAAAGAGACCTTTGAGCAGGGAAAGTGGAGTGAAATCTCCAAAGAACATAGAGGATTCCTCACCCCTCATCTCTGAGAACCCCTGTTGTTAGGTGGAGGAAGAGCCACTTGCAAGATGGAAATGAGCCACAAGCTGCACTGTGAGCCCAGGCCTTCTGTGCCGATTCCACCGGCCCATGCGTTTCTGAGGGGACCCCCTAATCGGACTGCCAAATTCTCTGGTTTGCCCTGGGATATTATAGAAATTATTTGTATGGTGAATGAAAATAAAACACACCTCATGGCAAAAAAAGTCTCATTTGGTCCAGCTATTCCTCTGCTGGGTATCTTTCCAAAAGAATTAAAACAATCATACCACAGCAATATATGTTACCTATGTTTATAGTGGCACAGTTAGTAATAGCTAAAACAGGAAACAGCCTATCGACTGGAGACTGGATGTGGAAGATATGATTTTTTAATAAAATGTAGTACTACTCAGCCATAAAGAATGAGAAACTAAAGACATTTATAGCTAAATGGATGCACATTGAGGCCATACTCTTATGTGAAATAAATACCAAATACTTTCTCTGCTGTGCAAAACTAAAAGTGTTAATGAGGTTCAAATGGTATAATTGATAGTGTGAAGGAGGAAGAAAAGGTCTAAGGGAGAAGGGGAAGTGTGAAGGGTAGGGGAAAGGAAATAACGGAAAAGAAAAAAATATGAGAAAAGGCAAAAATGGAAATAGTCTTTGTAAACAGTGAAGGGTAACATAAGATCCTAATGGTATAGTTGACAATGTGAAATAGGAAGAAAGGGGCTAAAGGTGTAGGGGAAGTGGGAAGGGTAGGGGAAAGGAAATAAGGGAAAAGAAAAAATTATGACAAAATGAAAAAATGGAAATAAAGTGTTTGTAAATAGGGAAGGGAGGAGGGAGTGAAGGGAGGGCAGGGAAAAGGGGAAAAAATGAGAACCAAGACCTGTCATGTAAAGGTACAAGGTCCCAATGATGAATGTAACTGTACTGTATACCTAAAATGTACCCATAAATTCCATGAGAAAAAAAATAACAAAGGGTGGGAGGGGGTGAAGGGAGGTCAGGGGCATGGGGGAAAAATAAGAACCAAGATACATCATGTAAAGGTACAAGATCCCAATGGTGAATGTATCTGCATTGTTTACCTTAAATGTACCAAGAAACTTAATGGAAAAAATAATTTTAAAATAATAATAATAATGAAAAAAAAACATAAATATATTCAGTGCCTTGGAGAAATGTTGTTCATGGCAAGGTGGCCTGGAAGAAAAAGAAAAAAAAGTGGAGGAGCCAGGATCCTTTCTCATTATATCTCCTGGTGACTATCTCCGACCAGGCCCCACCTTCTAACAGTAGGTTACCTATGAGCTTATCAGTGGACTAATCCCTAAGTGAGTTCGGCACCCTCATGATCCAATCATCTTGCAAACACATGAGGCTTTTGAGGGAGCATCACATATCTAAACCATAGCAATATATAGCTTCTTTTGGTTATGGAAAAATACATCGTATGTTATTTGTAAAGGAAGAGTCTATCTGTGTAGGAAAAAGGGAAAGAAAATTAACAGGATATAAGGCCTTTCTGCTAAGGTGTGCATACTTCTAAATATCTTCAGACATACACATTCTGTCACACACACACACACACACACACACACACTACTCTGGTTAAAAAATCAGTTTTTGTCTATAGAGAAAATGTGGACCAATGTCCTCAGCAGAAGAAGCATAAAGGGACTCGGCGGCCTGTGGACATGGAAGCAGACTCTCTATCAGCATCACAGCATGAGTCCAAATTTGGGGGAACCACTCAGCCTGGTATACTTGGAAAAGCACAAAAAGGTAGAGAGGTCAGGTAATTCTATCTGACAAGTAGCTTCTGATAGTTCAGAGGCAAATGTGGAAGTTCCTGTTCATGCTGTGTTGCAAACAGCCAATAGTCTGTAAAGCTGGGTTCTTAATGGAATTCTGTCATATGTAATCCAAGGCTGTATTTATACTCATTGCTGATGATCTTAGAAAACTAAGCATGTGACTCGATAGTAGACTCCACAAATGCCATGGAAATATAGCCCTGACATATGTGTGAGGAAAAAAGATCAGTTAGTGAACTATTTTCAAGGTGCTAAAACAGTTATCAAGCCTTTTATGGCTACAACAAATGTTTGTTATTGTAACTGATGTTGTTATATTTTTCTCCTGGAAACAATCAAGATTGTAAAATTAAATATGTTTAGCAGTAGAAATCTTCAAAAAAGAAATAAAGATACATAGAGTAGGAAGGTGTTTCAAGCTGCGTGACTTAACGAGCTAGAAGACGCTGAAACTGTTATCAAATTTTGGTTCCAAAAGGACATTGGTTTCTAGAAGTCTGTTTTCAAAATAACTATGATCAGTTATCTTTTGGGTAATATTTTCATTTCTTTCAAACTAAAGCATCATTTGTTTCTTTATAACTGAAAATTTAAGCTTTTCAGCAATAGAAACAAGAAACAGCTTCCTTTTCCATTTGCTTCCTCTGAAGATGTGATTCTAAAGGAGACGATAAACTGGATTTTGTCTCATTCCCAGGAAAGATTTTCAATTGCATTGTTAGCTCAAAAAGATGTCAAACAGCAACTCACATAGTGACTAGGACTTGAGTGACTATGCTATATGCCTGACATCTAACACCAAGTTCCACTGGTCCTTGCAGCATTCTCCATTTAAAAAAACAATATGTGACTGTTTTTTGGAGTGATGGCAAATTCCACTTGAACACCTGTGTGCCAGATGTGCACAGCTACTTACGCACCCTGCTATTCTGCCTGCAATACTTACCACAAACTACTTCTCCTTGGCTGAACTGAGAAGTAGAGCATTTCAAACATTTTTTCTCTTTACCCTTTTATCTTGTCATTCATATGTTTTCAGTTTTCTTCCTTACCCTATTTTTACATAACAGTGCTTATGTACATCCATAAGTCATTTCCTTTTTCATCCTTGTTTATTGAGAATGGGGGATTAATTTTGGTGCTTTAAATTTGTTTATATTTTTAAAATATAGACAGTGACAAATGGAGGTGTAGTGTTCTTCACTTTCCTGTTAGGTCAACCACAGGCAAGAGAACAAATGAGTTTTGAAGTTCTGATGAACCTACTCCAAATCCATTGAAAGCATTATGCTGGTCTATTTTTAAACATTATTTAATAAAAATAATTGGTTTTTCATGTTAAATGAAGGGTTGTTCTTTCTCACAGGTCTGTGTTCCAAACTGGAAGGGCAAGTCATGCAACAGATGGACATTAAAAATGGAAAGATCAAAGAATGACATCATTGGAGCTCAAGGTCTAGAAGTGGAAAACCAGGTGGACGACAGAAGGATAAAGTTAGTATAATACTTGCTGCTACTAACAGGCAAGAAGACTAGAACAAACACTGCTACATGTGCAGAAATCCTCTATCAGCTGGCTGCAATTTGCCTGGATTATCCCAAACAGCTTGCTTAAATCCATCTCCTATAACATAACCACACAGATCTGTGGCTGTCCTGGTACCAAATTAATGTGTTCAGTTTTAAAATGAACTGTAAATCACATGTCAAAGTTATTTATGCAATATTGTGAGGTAAGCCCTTATAGGTTATGAAGGACTAATTGTAGCATTGTGCAATTCCTTGAGGTTCATTTTAAATATAAGACATTAAATATATTATTAATATTATAGCAACAAAGCAAACACTTATTGAAGTTTCAGGCATTAGTCTAAGCACTGTATATATGTAATGTCTCTTAATATTCCATCAGTTTTACATGATGGCTATTAATGTAATACCCATTTTGAAAAAAAAAAAGAAAATACCAGGACATGAAGGAAGGTACCAGAGTAATCCAGCTAAGAAATTGTAACACCGAAAGCCAGCTGTCAACTCTGGAACTTGGAACCATGCTTGTATTGTAGTTCAGTGAAGTTTGCAAAGCTTTGTCTTATTTTTGGGAGTAAGCTTTGCCTCTTAATGATCATTACGTACACATTTAATAAATGTCATGTTTGGCCCAAGTAAAAAAATTTTTTTTCCAATTTTTTAAGTGTATTGTTCTTGTACCTCTTCTTCACATGAATATAAAATTAATGATATCATGTCACTTTTGCCCCGATTTCCCCACTATTACTAGGATAAGAAGTCACTTAGAAGTCAAGTTCACCAAATCACTTCATTTTTAAAGGCAAGATTTAGCTAAAGAAATCTTCTCAGGTGTTTTCCAGATTTAATCCTTATTAGAACAATTTAGAGGCAGATAGAATTAATGTAAACAAATTCAGAAATATTAATTAGATAGAAATTGCATTTCCCTCAGTCATTTCATTCAACTACTGACTTATCCCTTGGCTACCTCATTGTTCATTTGTTTTGTTTTTCAAATAAAATCCTTTCTGTGCCAGTTTGAAAACCAATGAATAAGTTTTCGGAGGGCAAAATCCTCCAATTGTATATTATTATTATTTTGTGAGACTTGTAAATCTAATATGTGTTATGTAATAAATACCTACCATAAGTAGATACACTTAGAAGTATATAAAAAAAAGATATAACATTCTACTCCACACAGAACCTATAGCAGATGGCCACCTGCTACAACTTCAGCCAGTTACTGGTCCTCAATGGTAATAAGGGCTTAGGTCTAGAACACGGGTTCTCCAAATCTAGACCTTATTGTATTGCTGACTGACCAGTACTTGAGTGAGAGAATTTATATTTATAGAAAGTTTTCAGAAGAACCAGATGCTGCTATTTTGGGGACCATCTCTGTGAACGACTGGTATAGACTATTGGAAAAATCCCTTCTGTGGTCCATGGGGAAACCTCTCTGTTTCAGGTCTTCCCTCTCCTCTGTTGCTTCCCATTGTCCTAATTTTTGTAGGGTCTTTTTCAGTACATTTTTAAAGTTAATTTTATTGGCACATTTTAGGTATACATTATAATGACATTCATCACTAGAAATTTGTACCTGTATACAATATATCTTGGTTTTTATTTTTTCCCATTCCCTTCCTTCCCTTCAACCCCTCCACCCC